CCACTCCTGACATCCTCATACAGTACCATAGCGCCTCTCTTGGCACTCTGTCCTACTGACCATCTTTATACTTCTCCATTAACATTCTCAGAGCAAAAATGGCATCAGTAGTGCTCTTTCTGGGCATGAAGCCATACTGCTGCTCACAGATATCCACTTCCTTTCTTAGCCTAGCTTCCACTCCTCTTTCCCATAGCTTCATTGTGTGGCTCATCAACTTTATACCTCTGTAGTTGCTACAACTCTGCGCATCACCCTTGTTCTTAAAGATCGGCACTAGTACACTTCTCCTCCATTCCTCAGGCATCTTCTCACTCTCTAAAATCCTGTTGAACAAACTAGATAGAAACTCCACTGCTGTCTCTCCTAGACACTTCCACACCTCTACAGGTATGTCATCTGGACCAACAGCCTTTCCACTCTTCATCCTCCTCAGAGCCTTCCTCACCTCATCCTTTCTAATCTTTGCTACTTCCTGCTCTACAATATTCACCTCTTCCCCCCTTCTTTCCCTCTCATTTGCCTCATTCATCAGTTCCTCAAAATACTCCTTCCATCTTCTCTGCACACTCTCCTCACTTGTTTGTTAAACAAACTGACTATTCACTTACTGTCCACTAAATCCCAGAACTGTTGTTTTGAGATAATCAGCCTGTGAGGCATCGTAATGTTTTCCACTCAAAGGTAGCTCTGTGAAGACAGCAGCTGGTGCCTTATTTAAAAACATCCCAAACGTCCCTACAGCAGTAAACACCTGATTCTGTCTTCACACGGGTTGTGAAGCAAGCACAAGTTCAGAAATGCAGCTGAGTGAACACACACCTGGTGCTGTGCCTCCTCCAGGTTTCCACTGGCCCACACAGACAGGCCCAGGCGATGGCGTATCTTAGCTTCATCTTCTCTGCGGCTCAGCTGTTCTGCCAGACGCAGACCTGAGGAGAGGAGGGAGAGACACCCGTTTCTAGAGGATGATCTGAAAGTCCTCACACTGACAACTGTTGCTGCAGAGAAGAAGTTGTGCTGAGCCCCGGGTGCTCGCAGTTGTGTCTTTCTTTGCCTGTGTGCTTATTCAAAGTTCTTATATTCTCTCTGCTCTTCAGTTTGTCTCAGACATGCTTTATCTCCCCTGCTGTGAAGGAGCAGTCAGTCATGGCAGGTTGACTTTAGCTCTCATTAGGCTCTCAGAGCGAGCAGAATCTCATCAAACACTAAGTTTGGATTCACGCTCCTCTGCCTGTTCGTGTCTGCCTGGCCCTGTGATGTTCCCTGTCTGCTTCAGGAGGTTAACTGGAGGAACACTCCAGCTCTGTCCTCACCTCAACTCACAGCTAGATTCCTCACTGCTTGTTGAGCTGATAATCAGAGGGTCTGTGAGTTAAGTGACAAACCGTAACCGTGTCTTACAGGCTTGATGAAGTCTGGAGGCATGTGTAGACGAGCCCAACCACTCATCTGTAACAATTAGGTTGTATTCTGATTTGTCCCAGCATTAGTTAGTGTGTGTGTGTGATTAGTATGCTTCTAAATACATTAGGGAAGAGATTCAAATGGGACTATTTTCAACAGGGATTCAGTTTCAAAGCAAGAGAGATGTGCGTTTCAGAAGGAGAAGTCTGGTGAGAGTTAAATCAAACAGGATTATTGACAACAAGCTGCTTGAAGGAAAACACACTCCAGGGTGAACACCAGAGCACTGATCCTCTATTAGCCTCTGCCAGACTCATGAATACCCTTCATGCTTCTTCAGGGCTTCAGAAACACAGTTCACAATGTTCTCAGGCCTAAACAGCTTTGGGTTTAAGTCAAATATCCACATGGAGATCAAAGTCTGTGCTAATGGAATCCATATGACTGCAGGGGGAGGAAAAACTGGGACTCACATCTTCCCTCCAAGTCAAATTTGTCGACATGTGTCAAAAACAGACTGAGTAAAACTCCCGTCAGACACAAGCTGCTTCTCGACTGAGGCTGGATCATGGTCCCCTGTATCCAACAGTCCATAAGTTAAAGGTACATTCACACATCTATATCATATCCAGCATTTATTTAGTCATCAGCCACTGGCAAATAGATCCCATGTAAAAAGGTATTAATGAGTCAGAGTAGAGTCATCTCTGTAGCTACGGTTCAAACTGAAGCAATGGAAGCAGGGCACAAACTTGTTTTTATTAACAGTCAATATACAGTCGTGCGTATCGTTATGTGGTGATAATGATCCAGTTACATAGATATAGTTGTAACATACAGCTCCATTTGTGTTGAAGACATTACAGCCCATAATGTAGAACCTTTACAAATGACCATCTGTCATCCATTTAAGGGCACTTTCTCACTGTTAATCTAGTTTTGGTCTCAGTAGGTCTGGCCCAGTGATTCAGTCTCCAGAAGGACACAACTTTGTAGGCCTCATCCTTCTGAGGACGTAGACCCTGATTTATGACGGAGATGAAAGTGTTTTTTACGCACTGTCCGCCTTCAGTGAGCGGCAGTGGAAAGACAAGAGGGGAGGAAGCATGAGGCACAACATGCTACAGATCTGAGGCTGCTTTCAATCCAGCTACACTGGTTGGTTTACTGCTCTCATCAGCCACAACAGGCTGCCGGTTGTAAGGGAAAAGCTCTTATAACCCCACTGTCCACTACCTGCCCAGCACCAAATGGCAGACAGAGTTAGTGTGTAGCTGGTGAACATAAAGGGCCATTTAGCAGCTTAAAAAACATTTTTCTCTGGAGTTGGTGGAGACAAAAACACAGCTAAAAGAAAACAAATTCCATTAAAGTTAATCTGTATACAGAGGAAACTGTCTGCTGCAAGTTGAACATTTCGGTGATGTCCGTGTTACACAGTGGCTAAAGGTAGGTTCAACATAACATGAGAACTCTGGCACAATTACAGAGCAACTAGTCTGTGATTACAGGAAACATGGGCATGCCGCTCACGTCATAATAAGTGCTGCTAAGACCTTAGTACCGTTGTCCTTACCTTCCTGTAGGTACATCACAGCCTGTGCATAGTTCTGCAGTGCATGGTGGATCCTTCCCAGGCTTCCGTAGGCCAGAGTTTTAGCTGCCAGGTCATTGGTCTGTGCTGCCACACTCAGGTGCTGCTCTTGAAACACCACAGCCCGCTCATAGTTTCCTAGAGCTTCGTAGGTCAGCCCCAAGTTGCCGTAGGCTCGGCCCTGGCTCCTCACACATCCCATCTGCTCCGCTATATCCAGAGCCCTTTGGTGCCACTGTAGCCAGAGAGCTGGGTTACCCAAAGGACTAGTTTGACATTTCAGGAAGTAATCTTGTTGATATTCTTGTTGTTGGAGGTTTAGATGAGACAATAAATGCCACTGTCATGTACAGTATGTAAGCTAAATATGAAGCAGCCCAAATCGGTCTAAATGCAGCAAAATCCACCAACCAGCACCTGTAAATCTCACAGAATGAACACGTCATATCGTGTTTGTTTCACCAGTACAAAACCAAAAGTGTAAACGTCGAGCGTTATGGGTTAGGGTATGGGTATGTGCTGGACTATTTCTTTGCACTTGGTGGAGTCTCTGCAGGTTAAATGGAGCCTAGATCCAGGCTCTAAGCTAAGCTACGCTAACAGACTGGTGGCTGTAGTTGTAAAGTTAGTGTACAAACATGAGTAGTATCGGTCTTCTTATCTAACGGTCAGCAAGAAAGTGAATGTCACCAAATGTCAGGCTGCTGATTTAAATGACGGAGAGAACATGCTGAGTTATGATGTATTATAAATCTGTGCAAACCTGCAGCGCTGTCTCATTGTCTGCCATCAGCTGATAAACACCTCCAAGTGCATCACTTGCCTCTGCTTCCAGGGATTTATCCTGACGGTTAAAGGAGGATTTACTACAAATGAACCTTTCAAAAACAAGACCATTTGTCATATTCAGTCTGACAAGAGGAGAGGCTGAAACAAGAACCTTACCCCTGCTGCACGTGCAATGTTGAGCTGGTGCTCCAGGCAGGAGAGGGCCTGCTCATAATTGCCCAGCTGGCTGTGTAAGGTGCCCAGCTCCCAGTACGCCTGAGCCTTTCCCCCTCCGTCCCCGCCCAGCTCATGGGCCACCACCAACTGCTTCTCAAAACACACCAGGGCTTGCTGGAGACTACCCATGGACCTGAAGAGGGAAGAGAAGAGAAGGAGGAGGGAAAACACTTGATCATCTATTTCTTTGTTACTGGTTTGTGCCTACAAGTACACCTGCATTTTTAATACATCATACTGGTGTTCCACTATCAAATCCCTCCTCCTTCCACAGAGAGCCACACAGGCAATATAAGAAAGCAAACAAAAGAGCAACTAGGCTCACAACAGGACATTTGGATTATGCATTGTAAAAAATGTGTATGTGTGTCCTCTGAGAGAAAGAGTAAGAGAAGAAATGTCGCTGCAGTAAATCAGTGACTCTCTTCTCCTCATTACCATCACAGTCACACTCCAGAGAGCAGAAAGAGGCTCCAACAGATGGATCGAGGAAGCCCATCATTAAGCCTTGTTCTGTTGTCAGTGAGCATTGTAGAGTTCCATATGAGAAGAGGCTAATGTAGTACGGGGGGGAACCAGCCCTTCTCCATCACCACAGCTGCTTGTTACTCTGAGTACGATCAGTGAAGCTGGATTATTTTCATTACCACCATGACTCTAATTTAAAATGTGTAAAATGTGTGCTCGAGGCAAGAAAGGCTGATTTAAGATTCTTGCATGAACACGGTCTCGTTTTGGAAGGGCACTTCCAAACTAATGGGAAAGCACGTGACATGAATATATGTCTGACTTTAATATCGACACAAATATAAACACAAGTGTAGAACACTGAATCTGAGGGGCTGCAAGAAGCAGCAAGCAGAGGCCAACCTGTGTGCACTACCAAGCCCTCTGTAGGCCTTCTCCTGGTCCTGGACATGGTTGAGACTCTGAGCCACCGTCAGGTACTTCTCATAGTACTGAATAGCCTCCTCATAGTCTCCCAGAGCATCATAGCAGTCTGCCAGGTTCCCGTAGGCCCTGCCTCTGTCCAGCATGCTCTCAGGTCCACTCAGCTGCTGTAACATGGCCAGCTGCTGCTCAAAATAGCCAATAGCTTCCTCATACACTCCCATGTTCATCTTGGTGATGCCCATGTTCCCATGGACCTGGGCCTCTAGACGAGCATCCCTGAGCCCCTGCGTGAGGCCCAGCTGGGCCTCATAACACTGGAAGGTTGTAGCGTAGTCTCCCAGAGACATATGCACTGCTGCCAGGTGGCCAAGGGCGCGGCACTCCCCCTGCTGATCACCTAGATCCTTTCGGAGTGTCAGCTCCTGGCTATGGAAGGACAAGGCTGTGTCCAGCTGGCGGAGCAGCCTAAAGTGGGAGGAGAGGGTGAGCAGAGAGAATCAGATGTAGGAGGTGAGGAAGCAGGGAAAGCAGAGCAGAGCACTCAGCTGAAAATCTTTTGTGGACCGTATAACCTGTGAACTGATCCAAGTGCTGAGTAAGCATCAGCCTCCATCTTCTGATCAACGACCTTCTGAGCGAGGCTTAGCTGCTGCTGGTAGAACCTCAGTGCTCCTGGTAGGTCGCCCCGACACACGCACACATCGCCGAGGTTCCCAAAGGCCCTGAAAACTGCCTGCTGACAAACGGTACCACATCAGTTAACAACCACTTCGTGTATAAAGGATGTTTTATAATTTACCATACAGTGAACATTAGTCAGTGACCTGTGTGTTATCCAGGGCTTGTGCTAGAGAGAGCAGGTGTCTCTGACACTCCTCAGCTTTGTTGTACTCCCCCAGTGCTTTGTGGGCCAGACCAAGGTTGCAGTAGGCTTTTGCCTGGGCTAGTTTGTCTTGGAGGTCCTTTGCCAAGGCCAGGTCCTGCTCATAATACCTAGGGTGTGGATGAACAAGGCAAAGCCATTCATTCCAACGTCAGAGAAAAGCACGAGCCTGGAAAGAACTAAGCATTAACAGAATGTGTGGCACATAAGAATGTGAATTTATGTGCACATATATTTTTTTATATATGCTTCGTAAATTTATATTTAAACCATGTCATTTTCCCTAGTGTGAGATTCCTCCAGATTTAATCTGGGATCTCCCCAGAAATTTAAAACAATGTTGAACAGGTTTAAATTACATTTGGCTGCAAAGCATCATAGATGCTGGTTGTCAGATGCGTCTCTGCCGCCGCCTTTCTCCAGCAGGGTTCAGCTCAAACGGTAGACAACACCAGATTTCATGTAGGAAATGCCAAAACCAAGCAACCAGCAGCGTTTCACAGATGGCATCTTATTTTACAATATTTAGTTAATGACTCCAGTTTGCAATGACTCACCCAACATCAGTTAGTCAGGTTGAAACGTTTGTTTACGTTTTGTGAGATGAATCTTTTAATTCTGACCTGACGGCGTCTCGGTACTGTCCGAGGCAGCAGTGAGCATAGCCGAGGTTGTGGCAGACTTTGCCTTCTCCCTGAAGATCCTGCAGGCCTGGGGCCAGAGCCAGGTACTGCTGGTAGTATGGCAAGGCCTGAGCGTATTCACCCCTCCAGCTGTGGAAGTTGCCCAGGTTTGCTGGAAAACCAAAAAGCAATTTAAGAGCATGTTATGCTTTTCAATCAAGAAGAATTCCTGTGCCTCTGTCCTCGATGCGCCCCCTCTTATCCAGCTTGCCTAGTGCTCGTGCTTCGCTTTGAGAGTCTCGGAGCTCTCGGGCGACAGTCAAGTGATGAAGGTAGTGCTGGAGAGCTCGGTCGTGAGCGCCCAGTGCCTGGTATGCCACAGCGAGGTTACCGTGTGTGGAGGCCTGTGAGGGGCGATCATTCACCTGAAACACAGACACACTTCACAGTCCCGCTTCCACATCAGTGCCAAAATGCTGCTTGTGAAGAGTGAGGGGCTTCACCTCCAGTGAGATCTGTAACTCCTGTCGGTGGTACCGGACAGCTTGGTCGCAGACGCCGAGCGCGTGATAGGCGTTGCCCATGTTACCGTAGGCCCTCCCCTGGGCAGCATAGTCACCCAGCTCCTGTGCCAAGGACAGGTGGGCTTTGTGTAGCTTCAGTGCCGTCTCATACTCCCCCTTCATCTGGTGGATGATGCCTGACATGGAAGGTGAAAAAAGGGAAGCGAACCTTGTTTGTTAAAAGAGAAGTCCAAGTCTTAGGTCAGTTAGCAGAGTGGCTAGAAAGGCCAAGTAAAGTCATTAGAGGCAACTCTAAAGTTATATGAATTAATTACACGTTTATCTAGTCTACTGTGAGTCAGGGAACATCAAAGTCTACTGAAATGGCTGATCTCATCAGTGACAGCTAGCTAGCTAAATAACACAGATACAGCCTACTGCAATGAATCAAGGGTCAGCGGACATCCTGGGCCTGAGGCATGAAGCCTCTGTGAGCTTCACTACAGAAACAAAACTGAAATGTTTGTAACTAGGCTCAACTGTCTTCAGTAGGCAAGAAACAGTAGCTGAAATTTAAGATGCTTTAAAACCCTCGTTGAAGTCTTATTTTAAGGGATCTCAGTTAAGGGCATTTTAAGACTTTAAAACCTGCAGATAACCTGTGTCCCTGCAGAATGCATGATGGACACTGGTTTTATAAACCCCGGTTTACGTGCCAGACACGATGTATGTGTGCGTGGTTTTTGTGCATACACATTTATAAGTGCTGCTCAAGTCAGACAGTGGTAGAGTCGACACTAAGACTGTGGAAGAATAAGACACTGAAGTGGACGTTTAGCGGAGTAAGAAAATAAAGCCAAGCTGCTCAACGTATATTTGTTTTCATAAGCCAACAACAGGGGTGTGTGAGGAAGAGGAGGCTGCTGATGGGGAAAGGGAGACCTGGGTCATACAGAAACACCTGCAGAGTTGGCTGGAATAGCTAGTTACACCTACAGAGCATTTTAGCATCTTTCAGCTAGTTTTGGATTTTTGATTCTTAAAGCTCTCGTTGACACCAGTTCCCATCGTAGCAGGCAGCAGATTTCAGTTAGAAGCAACAGGCCGGCGAACACAGTGGTGCATTTAGCAGCTGGTACAACACTAATCACTAAGGAGTTCCACTGGGCGACACCACAAAGTCCGAGTTGAGATGTTTGTGGCTGAGAAAGCATCACTGTGAAAAAAGGTATCATTTATATTTGAAGTTTGATGAAAACTGAAATGGGGAAGGAAAGAGAGGAGAGGGGAAGGAAAAGGAAGAAAGAAGAGAGGAGATGGGAAAAGATGTGAAAAAAGATAGAGAAGGAAACAGAAGAAGAGGAGAGGAACAAAGAGAGGAGACAAAACAAGGTAACAAGAGAGGAGAAGGCACAGGAAATGGGGGCAGGAAGGGGAAGGGGGGACAAGTAAGAGGTGGAGGGGACTAAACAGGAATAGAGGGGAGGAAACATGAAGAGGAGAGGAGAGAAGGGGTTAACAGAGGAGAAGAAAGGGAAGGAGACAGGAGGAGAGGAAGAAACTAGTGAGGAAAGGAGATGAGAGGCAACAAGAGAGGACAATGAAGGCTTGTCAAGTCAGCATTCAGACAAACATAATCAATCATAAATGATGATGTGTGTCACTGGGGTGACCCACAGACAGCAGCTCGTCCCTCAGGAGCCTCAGCATCGAGGCATCGGCGACCTGCGCGCTCGTCTTTCTGCTCATTTCAGATGGAAAACACTAATAATACGGCTCAGCTCTATTCAAACTGGCCTGTGTGGAAACAGCACAAAAACATGGCTGCTGCAGGCTCGATGCATCCTGAAGCAGTGCTCATGTCACCTGTGTAACGTGGTGCACGCAACACACACGCACACAAACACAGACAGAGTGGCGAGTCGTCCAGTCAGTGCTGGAGTCGGGTTCGCCAGCTCTCCAATATCACTGCGGCTGCAGAAACCAAAGCCTGCTTAATAAGACATGAGTATTGTCCGGCCAGCGCAGCTCCAGCCACGTGATAGGGCCTCAGATGAGGTGATGGGAGAGTGGGAACATCACATGATCCACAGCCCGAGGTTTTGGTTAATGAGCCGCAGCATCTGCACACTGCACAAAGATAATCCTGCTCATTTTCACATATCTTGGAGGTAGGGCACAAAAAGTCCTGGGTGCTGACGAGCAATGCAGACCAAGTCGGCCAGAGCCACAAGAGCCCAGTCAGTCTGCTGACCCAGCAGTGACACAGCGGGTTGAGGTTAACGAGGGAACAGCTCATGTGACAGGAAAAGCTGCTGCACACAAACCATGCTGGAGCTTCCTGTCAGTCAGACTGCTGCAGGCGGTACCTTAGGGTGCTGGAGAAACCGTGAAACCTTTTATCTAAAACCCATCGGTGTCCTTTTCTACAAACTGAATGGTCCTTTAAGACCATTATTGTGTTTATAAGAAGCAGAAAGCAGTTGGATAGATGAACCACTTAAAGAGATGAACTCATTTAGATTAATGTAAGTTTGTGCGCTTGCCCATTCTGAGCTGATAAACCTCCTCTCTCCTGAGGTCTGATGGAGCTGACTGAGACTCCTGCAGCACAACAGCCAAACTCTGACTTTACAAATGCGACGTCTCCTGACAGCCCACAGTCACACACAGGAACATTTTATAACTAACAGTACTGCCTGCAGCAGCGAGGCCTGTCTGGGGATGTTTATTTACTTTCTAGGAATCTTCCAAACCTGCAGGTGTCCTGCTGAGACGCAGCATCAACACTTTAATCGGCTGCTCTCTTCTCTGTTGCATTTTGGCAGCTGGACAGTCAGGGGACACTGCTCAGTTTGTTTTACAGTGATGACCCCCACATCTCCGCTGGGAGTGACCCTGTAGGTCTGTAACGGTGACCTCTGTGCTGCAAAACCTCTGAACTTTACCTTTAACCTGTGTCTTTTTCTGTTAAATAGTTTGTCTATACTCAAGTTTCAGTGGCCTCTCCGGTAGTTTGTGGTGTCTCGAGGTGTTTTTATTACAGTGCCTGTGTTTGTGGTTATCTCAGTCATTATTCATTGCATCGAACAACAGAGTCTACTGTCAGCTCAGATCATGGACTGAACCAAACGTCAACCCGTAACTTACAGTCACTCTCACATTCCTTCTTCTTTTATTCAGGCACAGACTCTTTGTTTGTGATGTTTCTCCTCCATAAACCATAAAACAAGCCAGCTCCTCATACTTCTACAGCTTCATTATGGATGTGCTGCAATGCCCCCCTACCTTCACCTTCACCTTCTCCTCATCATTATTAGTTTTAGTGTTATTCTGCTTTATAATATGGGTGGGTATCAAACTGAATGGTGCACTACCAGGTCAAACATGTCAGTCTCAGCACCTGTAACTAGTCCCTGTTTGTAATGGCACCCCCCCTCTCTCTGACACGCAGCTTCCTGGTTCCACTTAGACATCACTGGTTGGAGTCAGCTGTTTGGGTCTAGCTCAAATTAACCAAGGAAGGTGTGTTGTTACCAGTTGAGAGGGATGTTATTAGACAGAAACGTAACTAATGTTCCTTGTGGATGTACATGAGCCACAGGTCCAGGTCATCTTTAAAGTGACTTAGACTCTTTTATCACACTAACTTCAGCCTCTTGTGTGATGTGGCTGATTTGGCTGTTAGTAATTCATTTCAGCAAAGCAAACAATCAGCGGGATCCGTCACTCGCCTGCTGAGCTGCATCAGTCAAATGTGTTTATCTTTTAAACCCTCATAATTATGGCCACGAAAGCTCAACGGTGACCGTGATGTCTACGAGTGTCTCTGCAGCTTCTCCCATGTAAATGTATTTGTATATCCTGTCTATCTTATTAGCCAGTCTGCTACTGAAGTACAGATATGCAATGCTCCACACCGGAGGACATGCAGATTCAGATGACTTCCATCCCAGGGAGACTTACCCAGGTTGGAAGACGCTCTGCCCTGCGCTGCTCGGTCCTGCAGCTCCTGGGCGATTTCCAGCTGCTGTTGGTGGTGCTGCTGCGCCGTCTCCAGGTCCTGGGCATAACAAGAACAATCATCACTCATAGCTCTTTATTATCCAGGACAGAATGTCAGATCACACCTGTGGAATTTAGTCATACAACCGACATGTCTTTAAATGGATTCACACCAACCTGCATGCACCGGGCAGTGTGCCCCAGACCAGCATATGCCCTCATCTCAATGGCTCTGTCGCCCAGGTCTTGTGCCAACTCCAGGACTTGTGTATGGTAGGATATGGCCTTGTTAAAGTCCCGCTGAGAGTGGTAGGCGCTGCCCAGGTTGCTGTAGGCCCGCGCCTCCTCACGTTGGTTCTCCAGAGTCTGACAGAAACATCAGCAGCACTCACCGTTACCCATGTATGTTAGTGACAGGCCGTCTCAGGCCCCCAGAGATCAGACATTATTAAAACTGATTTCTTTACCAGCTGGTATGCATGACTTGTAGAAGTGCAATAGAGAAATCATTTTTAAAGTTTAAAAAAGATTCTTTTTCCCCAAGGCCTTAAAAAACAAAGACAAGTGTATCCCTGAACTCCACCAGTTCATAAAGCTGCAGATGGAGCCCACACATGGACCAGATGGCAGTTTATGTGACAAGCTGCAATATTTCCAGCTAAAGTGCCTAAACTGTCAAAACAAAATACACTTTTACTGGTCAGAAGATTTCACTTGAGGGACCTTCATTCTGGAACAAATCGAATTGTCACCAGATGATCAGTCTGTATGTTGCATGAGAGGAAGCTACAAAGAGCGAGATGGCGTTGGCTGTCCGATTTACAACGCCACACTTCATCCAAAACACACAAACAGAGTGAAATGCAGTGATTAGTGTTTTTGCTATGTGAACTGCTAAACTGTGCTACTTCATATATGTACAGGCTTAACAGCTAGTGTCCTGAACACACATTATATTCTCTGGGAGTGTGCAATAAAAGACCCCATTCACCGAATGATAGATGTGCTAGAAGCTCCTGCTGCTGCAGAGCCCACGTCAGAGAGAAGCAGCCGTTTCAACAGATCATAGTCTTGGAATACAAATCGCACTTTTCTCCATAATAATCCAAAATTAAATTACTGGGTGTACTGTCACTGGCAGCTTTATATTCAGTCTGCCCATGTAATGCCTTTATTAATTCTAGCCTTGCGAACACACGGCTGCTTTATCACGTGGCAGCAAAAACAATCAATGGATTCAACCACATACAATAAGATAAAGACACAAACAAACTTTCTAGTGACATCGGGGAGAAAAATATTCCATGGTCATGACTTAGTTGTGAAAATGTAATGTTTCGATTGTTGAAGTGCTGCCCAGTGCCGAGCTGGGGACTATCTTCAGTGGCAGATTGATCCACAGAGGAATACAACATATCAGGCACTGATACAGGACTTGTTAGTACAGTAGTCAGCAATAAGAAAAACATAGACTATCACCAGACTTCCAGTTTGATCTTATTGGGCCAAATAAAAACTCGTTGGGGGCCTGAACACATCACAGACATCACAGACCATTAGAGCAGCAGTACTGTACCTTTGCGATATCCAGGTGCTGCTCATGGCACTGAACAGCGTTGGTGAAGTCTCCCAGCGCTGTGTACACGGCGCCCATGTTGCCCAGCTGGCGAGCCTCTGAGAGCAGGCACCGGGTTTGTCGTGCCAGCATCACACACTGTTTATGGCTGGCCAGTGCGTTGGGGTAGTCGCCGATGGCTGTGTACACATGGCCCAGGCTGCTGAGGGCGCCGGATGCAGCCTGAGGGCACAGATCAGCACAACGCACACTGGTTAGTATTCAGAGCTGTGGACAGACAGACACCGTGGCTTCAGACAGTATTCAGAATCCTTCACTTTACCCATCAGTCTATACTCAATAACCCACAACGACAAAGTGAAACACATTTTTACAAATCTCCCATTTACAAAAGTATCCAGAGCATTAATCCTGGACTGCGTAGAAGGTGAGTCTCTACAAGCTTTGCACAGCTGGGGTCAATCCCAATCCCCTAATATGATTGTTCCTCGCTCAACCCGGATGTCATTCGTCTCCGTCATCTTGAAAGACATCTCAAAACTCTAATTCCTGCACTGAGGATCAAGGAGGCTGCTGGAGGAGCCATGAGAGAGGATACACCAGAGCATCCTTAGCAGAAGTCTGCTATTCATCAGAAATCGGTTGGTGACTGGATGCTTCAGGTAAAGATCAGAGGAAAAGGACATCTCTCATTAAGTTTCCTCAGTTCCTCTCCTTGAATCTTTTCCTCACATCTTACATGGGGGGGACTAAGACAAGGAAAATATGCAAGTGCAGGAAGCGTGGATGCGATTAAGGGAACCGGGATTCACCCCTGGATTTGAGCAGTTTATCCAATTCCTCTTGCAGACCCTCTCAAGCTCTGTCAAACTGGGTGGGAAGTGTCTGTAAACTAAATGAACTGAAAAAGGAAATGATTTCCAGTTGAAATAAAATGTTTAACACAATAAAATGTGCACATGTTCACAGCGCCAGGTGCCTTCTGACCCCTTAAATGAGAGCAGGTGGCACCAACAAGATTAATCTTCACAGCAAATGACAGTGGCAGTTACTTCTCATGTTTGGGTTCCAACAGAGCTGCTTGATGGGCTGTGGAACAGCTTGGAAACCTCCTCCCTCCACAGCGCTGTGTGTGGAAAGGCCATCTGAAGAGCAGGGATCATAAACATAAGTGCGGGGGACATGACCTGTGATGGAAAGCGCCCCTCCTGAAGACACACACCTATTGGAAGCTGCAGCTAATCTGTCACATCCTACTGGACCCCGCTGTGCGAGTGTCATGTCCTTCCACCGCCGCGCATCAGGCTCTTGTGCTTCTCCTCTGCTTTAGTGAGACACTTATTGCACTTCTAATGATTTCTAGCACCACTCTTCTGCTAATCACTGGGCCTCTTCAGGCAGAATACCATGCAAATCATGGTGAGTGTCTCGGCTTAAGTTCACGCTGTTGTTGTCTTCACCCGTGCACATGTGCATGAAAACAGGGCCGTGACCTCACGGCCACGCACACACCAAAACACATAGATTGTGTCAGCTCTCATCAGTTCCTCTGATTAGACCCAGAGAGAAACGAGGAACAGCCACTCCTGCCTCAGCAATCAGAGACCTGCCCACTCATTTGCTAACTATAGTGATTGCTATTGATCAGAGAGTCATCGTGGGAAATAATCGTGAGGATTGAGGAACATTTAGATTCAAATTAAACAGAAAAATGAAGACAAGAGCGCCGCGGTGTGTATTGGCACGTCTCCCATTTATCATCATCGGCTCTGGCATAGAAACACACTGCTGTGAAGAAAAACACTACTACATTTTCCTCTTAATGTCTCAATAAACTTAAACGGGGCATAAAAGTGCAAAAAGAGTGAAAACACGCCCTAAACGTTTGACACAGTCCGATGTGATCAGTCAGAACCAAAGTATAGTCACGTCACTTACTGTGCGTACACGACAAAGATGAGCAGCAAATCTCTAAATCTGAGAACCTGCAAATGTTTGGATATATTGAACAATTATTTTAGAAATAAATGATGATGTGGGACGAGGATGGCAGAACGACTTGGCTTGACTCGGGTGTCAATGGGATGCAGCCTTAGCCTCGTCTGCCCGGTACTGACTCGCTGGTGAACGATTCTGCAGCTTTAATGTCAGTGAACTCATTGTAAGCTTTCTATGGTATAAAATCTTCTCCAGACTGAAACCATGAGAAACACCTCTTCCGGTGATGAGCTCCCGTCTGCAGCTGTCGGTCTGAACCAACACCTTCGACGGCCTGTGTGAACCCTAACCCATCTGTGAACACGCTGTGACTATCGACAGATCCATAACAGCGAGCTCCTTCATGTGACAGTCAGAGGCTGTGAACACAAACACAGTCGCACCCTGACTCACATCAACACGAACTCAGGAATCAGATTATGAATTTGACCTTATTTGACCTTTCAAAGCAAACAATAAGGGACAGACCGAGAGAAAGAGGACGTCAGAGATTAACTCTAGGAAAATGTTGAAGAAGGTCCGAGAGAGGAGGAGAGGAAACTACGACTTATTAAAGAGGAGTTCGATGCTCGTGTGTTCACCATATGCACAGGACTCGGTGTCCAGACCTCAGGTAACAACAATAGGGCCGACTGACTGAAAACTAATCAGAAACGCGTTTATGACAATTGTTTAAGTGTTTCAGTTGTTTTTCAAGCACAAATGTTGTGTTGATTGCTTCTGCTTGTCTTACTGTTTTTTAACTTTGGTCAGCTTGGCTGTGTTAAACATGCTATATAAATAAAGTTGTTGATGATGATGATGATGATGATGAAATGGCAAATATCCTCTGGCCTGAGCTTCACAGACACGAAGATCTGCTGCTTCTCTTCGTCATAAGATGCTAAACTGGATAAATCTGTATTTGGGTTTTGCACTGTTGGTTGAATGAATCAGGTTGGATGTCCACATTTCTTTGGGCCATGAGGACAATAACAGGTATTTCTCACTGTTTTTTGACACTTCACTGACATAACCATTAATTAAGGAGATAATGTGCACATTATTCAACAGTGAAAACATCATTAATTGTGGAATAAAAAAACCTGACCCTTCAGTTCAAATGCAGACTGTGAATAGCTGATACACAGACCTTTAAATCAGAGCCTTAATGAGTGTTAAAATCTGTCACTGAAACAGCCAAACTGACCTTTACTGGAATTTACCACCTCTAATTAACATCAGGGCGCCCTGCTCTTCTCATCTCTGTGCACGCCTGTCCTTGTGTGTGTTCACACATCTACAGAAATCCCAATTCCCAGCACAGTGATGAGTGTAAACACATAAAATCCAGATGACACCTCTCTGAGGCCGAGTTCTAGGCAGCAGCCAGAGATTTAATAAACGGCGAGGAGGCCTCTGAGTGTACAGTCCACCGGCCAGACGAGCGTCTGATTTCCCTCAAGGACACACGGTCTCCTCAGCATGAGGAAACACACAAAAGTGTGTGGTGCCTGTTTGTTTACATCTGTGGTTATATAAAAGAGAGTGAAAGACTGGCAGCTCTCCAGCCACTACACCACATCTGGACATACTGTTACAGGAAGGCAGCACATCTCACTAGGACAGTATGTGTGGGTCAAAAGAGAAAAACCATGTGAGTGAAGCAGGCAGGCAAGGATGGATGGTTAAACCTATAGCGTGAGAACAAAAGGAGGTAGCAGAGACAGATCAGTGGCGACCCCTGCAATTAGGGGACGACCCTCTCCACCTCCTGAGCCACAGCCGCCCCAGTACATATGAAACAGAGGTGAGAAAGGGAACGACAGGAGGAAATGGAGGCAGAATGAGGAGAGTTTCATGTTGCTGCTGAGGAACCAGACTCCTGCGGCTCTGACGAACATCAATAAATTATAATATAGACTCTAAATGCTCATCCAATGAAAAGCCACAGCTGTAAAATGTGACTTTAGTAAATGCCAGTGTAAATGAAACAGTGTGTACACCAGGTTAAGGTAAGACTGACCCGATCACATAAAACCAGTAGCATTGTGAAACCAGTCCACCATCATCACTGGCACAATAATGCATCAGTAGAACTGACCTGAAACGGGCCGCTCTGCTAGCAAGGTACTGCTGGTACTTGTGAATGTTTGGCTTTTCTGCCTAACAAATGACTTAACTGATGAGCAGAACTGTTGCTCACCGTGTTTCTGCCAAGTGACTAATTGTTTTAGCACCAAAGCACTGGACTTGAGTTATGTTGTAATATTTTGGAGGTTAGAACTCAGCCCTCTGCGGGCGGCATCTTTGTCTGGGAACACATGGATTTCTGTTGATGACCGCGTCTGAGTCGCCTCAGGCTGTGCACCTGAAGAGGAGAAGCACACACACACACACACACACACACACACACACACGAAGCTTTTGTTCCCGAGCTCCAAGGTGGACAGGGCTCGTGACAAAACTAGACGTATGTGTGCAAAAGTACCAGACAAACATAAAGATGCATGGACGACAATACAGCCACACTCTATTCCTGCCTCACTGCGTTCATTAAAACACACTTGCTCAAACCCTCATTCATCTTTATGACAGGTGTTCAATAGGCCTCTCCAGATCCAGGATGCAATCACATGCTATTAACAGACTGCGTGTGTGTCCGAGTGCAATATCGAGCCACCGGTGTGTGAGGGTCCAGTGGAGCCTTCAGGAACATTAGTGGCCGAAGCACAGACATAAAACTGTACAGAGGAAACATGTCTTTGAGTATTGAACAGCTGGAAGATACAGTACTCAGCCCGCCGTCGGGTCTCACTAGATACTGCAGTAACAGCATTCATCAAAAGATATTAAGGGTAAGTCTATATTTCTGAGGACAGCTGTGAAATCCAGAGGAGGCCAGAAGTGAAGTAAAGCTGCACTGAACTGTTACACAAAGAGCTGTTTACTGATGTAGTGGGCACGATATTAGAAACCCCTGCTAACACCTTCACAGAGGGAGGCTGAGCAAGACGCCTCACAGCCGACAGGGGGACATTAATCAGCACCTGGTGTAACTACAGTCACTAATCATCAAAGAACACGATCAAGTCATATTGTAGCAAACCTAATGAAGGAACCTCAGCAGAACCACAGTGCAACACACAGGAGGGAAACACTTCTTCTGGACCAGCCATGAGTCTGTCATGACAGAGTTCACTGATATTTATGTACAAAGTGAAACAGCTCCAGAAAAGAGACAGCAGATCGAACTTAAACACACAAGTAAGGCTGTTTGTTTCCTGTACGATAGTACAGACAATAAACATTCCACAGAAAGAGCCACAGGCACAAAATCACAAGATTAAATTAATCCAATGAGACATAATTGGCTCTGCCTGACACCATGCTGTATATTCACACTGCAGCACAAGCTGGCAAAGCAAAGCGACACACACTAATGAACACACACATGCTCACAGCTACGTGGCTGTAGCCAAACGACAGTAAACGCACACAAACAACCTCACAGCTTTGCTTTGTGTTTTGAGACATAAAGGGGCCAAAGTCTAATCTGTAACAGCGATCTAATTAACTCTGCTTTCCACAGCTGTCCAGTGTTTCTGCAGAAAGCTGATGAGTTCAGCTGTGGCCCGAGGCGAAGAGGAACTGCAGTCGAGGAAGCCGAGAGAGCGAGAGCAGTTGGGGAGAAGAGCGGGACGAAGAGGGAGGAAGAGGAGCAAAGCTGAGGCCTGTGCTTTGTGCTTGATGGAACCCTGGCAAACTCACGAGCTCTGACAGCGTCACATCAGATGGTGTGGTCCCTAAACTAAATAATACCAAACCAGTTGATCTTCACTCTGGGGACTGTGCACTAAAACAGGGTGGAGGGAGCCGTGCTCCAGCCAGGACCGGGTGCACACCCATACCATTTATTACATGAATATGCATGAGCACACGCTCTATTTTTCATCCTCACCAACCACGTACTTCTCTGTCCTTGAGCTTCATGGCCAGCACCAGCTGGTTCCTGTGATTGGCCAGTGCTTCTCTGTAGCTGCCTTTGGAGAAGAGCGCAGAGCCGAGGTTCCCGTGTGCACGGCATTCCCCTGACTGGTCACCTGTGAGCCAAGCAAAGGGTATGATGGAGACAGATTCATTTCTCCACTGTACACACCTTCTCCTGTTGCTTTCTGCTCTTCCATACCTAAAGTCTTTGTCACCTCCAAGTCCTGCTGCATGTAGGCCATGCTCTTCTCAGCGTTCCCTAAGGACCAGTAGGCCGAGCTCAGGGCCGAGAAGACGGAGCCGCGCAGCTTCAGTGAGCACGTACCGATCTTCAGCCCGGCCTCCAGCACCACGACAGAGGCTCCATGGAAACCGTGGGTCAGGAGCTCCTGGCCGATGACGGACACGACCACGAACGGGCTCTTGTCCAGCTTCATCTTCTGTAGCTGCTGATAGGTGGGCTCAAGGGAGTCTGTGAAGGTGAAAGCACACACACAACGACAGAGGTGAGGCACAAACTAGCAAACAATACAGATCCACACTACACCACACTGGGGTTGGAGGGGTGGTGCACGTCCACCTCATTCCCAAAACCCACTTTTTGTCCTTCACACTTTTACTGCTTCACACTGACCTTCTTACTGAAGTGCCTCTGTCCAGTCGACCCAGTTACCCCGGTCCACATGGGAGAAGATCTGAGTTAGTAAAAATGTGCCCTTCTTATTGCCTGTCAGGCAACAGACATGCTGCCCCTTTCATTCTTGTAGGCATGGATGTATTAAGGAGAACTGGAATTACAAAATGTGTGAGCAGCATTCGTTAGGCTTCTGTTTCTTTGGGCTGACTCCAGTGGAGCGCACTGTGCACATCAGCGCTATGACCGGACAAGCAGGCGTCCGCCAGCGCTATCCACTGTAAGATAGCAGCCGTGTTCCCACCTTGTTGACATATTTCAAAAGAAAGTGGCAGAAATGGCAAAAGAAATAGTGATTTGAAGAAACTCCCAATAACTCTACTTAACTTGTCAGAACAAATTGTGTGTAGGAGCTGCTGGCCAGTCCTGCAGGCTGCACTACCTGAGGAGGAGAGTGGAGGCGGTGCACTGACAGTCAAACTGCAGTTGTCTTTATTTTACAAAGAACTGCACCAGGTAGATTGGAAGAAACTTGTGTGTTAGGGCTCAAAGTTTCACCAACACATTTCCAAATAAATCAGAGTAATAAAATGCACCCAGTGTTGGTGCATGTTAAAACAGTATTGATGTGTAACTACTCAGTTTGTTGACTGTTCTGTACTTGTGTTACTGTGACTCTGCTGTTATTTCATGGCTGTTAAAGGCTCTCCTCTGGACATTCCTGTTCACAGACACAACACACACACAGTAAAAGCCGCTGCATATGTTTTATCACTGCAGACACACAACTTCTCATGCTGTGAAAACGCCATCAGCCCTCCCTGGCCTATGACAGACAGACAGTGACATCTCCGGTCCTTCTC